TTCCTGAAGCATAATTGTTGCATGCCAGAAGCATGACAGTCACTGCATGGATAATACGTTCTAGAAAGGACAATCCGCAGACATGAGAATATTGATGTCTCTTGCATGTAGCATGATAGACGTATAGGTTCCAATGACTCAACTCCTAGAAGTGGAGATTAAAATCCAAGCTCTATAACGCTCAAAATGAGGTTATGATCCGAATTCTCTAAATTACGACTATCCTGGAAGAGATAGTATAATGCCCTTGAAGAGGCAATGGATATCCAAAAGAAATAAAAAAAAAAAAGCTTTTATGCATGCGCATGCATATGAGAATATGGGATCACGGATTGATGATAACCAATGATAATTTTGGTTTTTACAAGTAGCTACTAAATTCATCAATGAGCTGTGTTAATATTGAGTCACGTTCTTTTGTTCGTCGACAAAAGAAAAATTATTGGCCAAAATGGAGAAAGGCAATTCCATTACAATTTTGTAAGAACGTGGGCAAATGAACCTATATATATTTGAATACAATACAAATAGCCAAAGGATGTTGAACCAAGGAGGTTATATATGGGCATTTGTAATACAGTGTAATACACTTACATGATATGACACAAGGTTGTAAACGAGTTCATATGAATGGAGAATTATATAGGAAGGGTTGTGAGTCGCCCACATTATATCTCCATAAGTAAATCCCTCAAGTATACATGGGAGCAAATTGCTCTGTATAAATTCCAAAGGAAAATGTATCATGAAGTGTAGAAAACTCTTGAAGGATTCAAATTGCTTGAAGTAAGCATCTGAAGGGTAAAACATAAAATATGTATTCAATACCAATAGATGATATAAATTGCCTTATTGAGTACTATCATTATGATATTGTTGCAACATACTAAAATCTCTTGCAAGAGTCAATGACATTAAATTATAACTCTTGAAGAGTTGATGATATTAAATTGGGACTCCTAAAGAGTCTAGAAAAAATTATAAAGTGTTGAAGGAATTATTGTCTCGAGCTGCAGATCGAACAATCTACCAACACGAATCTTATCCATGATATTTATGATATTAAAAGAACCATATGGATTGAAGATTATGAGTTGAATACTCATATGATAAAGACACTAAGAATAATCATTTATCTTCGTGAGAGTAAAGATAAATTAATACTTGGTCCAGAAGTACCACATCTTAGTGAAGTATATGCTTTATTGTATTTGGCACAATACATTGAATGAAATAAAGCTTATTTATTAATATCTCCAAGAAATTACAGATATGTACATACACATGAGTTAAAACAAACAAACAGGATGGAGCCTTCACAAAGGTTGCTCATGTGAAGCCTCAGTACTCGGAAGTACCCCAGAAGGGGGAGGCACTGGAGATTGATCATGTGGCACCCCAGTACTTAGCAAAACACCAGAAGGGGAAGGCATCAGTTGCTTTCGGAATCTAGCAACAAACCTCTGGTGATCACTTTGAATTCGACTTTCAGATTCCTGCAGTTGGTCGAGCTTTCTTTTCATGCTCGTAGAGTAACTATTTGCAAGCACGTGTAACACCCTATTCTCATGCTTGAGCCCTCTGATCTCTTGTTTAAGACTTGCCACCTCCGCCATTAATAATTCAACTTGGCGAGTTTGAGCAAGTAGGCGTTGGCCCATATTGGAAACAGAGCCAGCACACTGAACACTGAGAGCCAAGGAGTCTTGAACGGCCGACTCTTCAGACCGTTCTGAAAGGATCTTGTTATCCCTTGGAGTGAGAAGATTCCTAGCTACCACAGTAGCGGTTATGTTATTTTTCATCACAGAGTCCCCAACCGTAAGAGGACCATTAGAAGATAAGAAGGACGGGCGCCATATATTATCCTGACGCTGCTCGTCTGTATCACTCCTAAGACTCAAATCTAAGCAAATGTTAGATGGGCAAGTCATTTTTCAGAAATGATGAAGGAAAAACAGAGGTCAAATAAAATTTCAGAAGTGCCAAGATAGAGGAAATTTCTACAGGCAGCAACTTTCTGAGCATACTCTTGAACACAATTGATGTCTCTATAAAAGAAGAGGCAGCAGAGCCACTCGTTCAAAGATCGAAGAGGCATCGCTCTCCGAATTTCAAAAGCCAGATTTTCCTCAATAAAGTTCGTTGGCATTTTTCAGACGTAATCCCAGCTTTTTCAGATGTCGCGTGCAATTTTGTCAAAGATCTCTGACAAAGTTGAAAACGCGTAAATCTTACTGTTCTATTTACACCACAGTTGCTGACAAGAGTAAAAGCACAGCACCACCACTTGCTATTGAGAAATCTCTATATATGTCGACCTCTGTTCTCCATAACAAGGCAGACCTGCAACACTGCAAGAATACCTAACTCTTCCTCATCTCCGAGAATGCATCTTCAACATAGCATCTCGAAATACTCAGTTTTCTTTCTCTCCGAGAATACCTCTTCAAACATGTCACACCAGAGCAAGATTATCACATATCTTCAGGGACCAGAGCAAGATTATCTCATATCATGCAATCTCCCTGTCATTTCCTTTGTCCTTGTTCTTGCCTGCGAAGACAAGGATAAAGAAAGCAATATGTCAGAACCTCCACTCAACTCCCGGTAAGGAACCGACTGCCTGGAACCTTTCCTGATTGCTTACCTAGTGTTGCTATCGAGTAGTCATCTTCAACGGTTGGAGCTGGGTCTCCAGTCACCAAGAAGTGATGAACCATCCAAATGCAAGGTTTGCACTCCACTCTGGCATCAGAGGGCAAATACTGCCGGAGAAGATGCCACACATGCATGGGGGGAAAAGCAGGGAAAATACTACTTAAGCAAGGGGAGCAAGTAAGGAAAGTGAAAATGATACATTGAAGCATGTGGAGACAAGCGCAACAAACGCGTGCTGATTCATCCCTGACAAAACTAAAGATCACTTGCCACATGAAGCTCCTCATGGTCCAATTTCATTCAAGATCAAGCCTCGAAGGTCTTTGAAGAAATCACAAGTCCGATTCAAGATCAAGTGTTCACTACTTTTGAATCAAATTCCGTTCCAGATAAAAGGAGTAAATTCAGACCTTTGGATGCTAGTCTAGCAGAAAGTCCTACAACCCAGTTCAAGAAAAAGCCTGTGGAAAGTTAACAACAAGTAAAGCAACTCTTTCAGCAACTCTTCTTACTAAGAGACTAAAGCAGAACGATCAACGATCAACCTAAATGATTTGAAATCAGGGGGAGCATCCAAAACAGATCAAGATCTTAACGAGTCAATTGAAGACTTATGTGAGCATCCAAGGGGGAGTGTTGTAAATTGTGTATGTATGCCCACATGCACATAGTAACCCCACATGCACATAGTAAACATTTCACAAGTTTAATAGTGTTTTGTTTGCTCTATAAATAGAGCATTACAAGTGTTCAAAAGGGGTGATAAAAAAAAAAGGAAGAATTGGAGATGAATGTGAGGGACTCACGGGAGAGAGAGGAAGGAAAGGAAAGAGAGAAAAGAGAGGAAGATGAGAGGAGATAATAGAGAGGGTTATCTTTGTACTCCTATTATTTCAAATTATAATGAAAGCACCACTGCTGCCCCCTCGTAAATTTTGTGTCTTGTTTCATTTATTCCACTGCACCCACAGTCGATTTTACAACAGAACATGCATTTTTTTTTTGTGAATATAGACATAACCCAATGTATTTCCAATTACAGTATTTTCAACAATAAATCTTATTCTGGTAGAATTATCAGAAGGACGGATAAAATAATTTGGTATTAAATAGAGTGAGGTTATAATATTAAAAATTTTCTTTTTTCGAAGATACGATCAGTGGGATTTCAACAATTCTTTATTTGTTTTTCTCTCATTTTTCTCGATATTATTTGTCATTAGACTAATGACTGTATGTCTATTTGCTTTTCTTGTTTCCAAGGAACCTCCTCCGTTAGGATTTGTGTTCTATTTTCGGATACGATTTTCTGTATTTTAGGAATCTTCGAATATGATTTATTTGTCCCTTTGTTTGCAATGAAAATTGGTTTGCATTGGCGTTTTATCTTAAGCAAGAGAAACGACTTTTTTAATTGATCGTGCATGTCATGTTCAATTATTTACTTGAATAAAGTTCGATCTGGAATCTCTAAACAAAGTCTATGCAACATACCAATCAGCAAATTGATATTAAAAAAACTGGTAAATACATATATTACGGTAATATATATGTATAATATATATATACTTCTGCTGATTAGTATGAACAAAGACAATGAAAAAGTAGTCATACTCACACCAGTTGCTTCCATTACCTTCCATATCTAATCATAACAACTATTTATGAAGTTAAAAATCATTTGCCATTCAATGACCGGGGAACAAATTGTCAAGACAGAAGGAAGATTTGACATTCTACACTAAATACATTTAAACTACATTAAGAAAAATTCGAACTTAGATGCAAAAAAGAAGCAAACTGTTCTAAACAGCTTGATTAAGCTTCGTTGAGCGTATATGATCATAACTTTAAAAGATTGTTTATTGTTAACATATTTCTTTCTTCTTTGATTTCTATTTCTTGCTTCCCACATTTTGGTAATGAATAATAATAAATATTAATAATAATCACGATCATAATACTAATGATAACACAACTGCAACTATGAAACACAGAAAAGTCAAAGGCCAACTCAGTCTCTCTTTATATTGGGAAAGGTTTGCACACAGCAAAAGGCTGAAAGTAAAAGTAATGGTCCACGTATGAAGGCCGTGAAGATAGAAATTTGCAAGCAGCTACCCTCATCTCCCTCTTTTACTTTCATGTCACCATAAAACTCATAACTAACGCGTTTGATCCTTCACCAACCATTTTTCAAATCCCGAACGACTACATATATACAACCTCTCTCTCAAACCTTCTCAACTTACCACCGCCGCCGCCACCACCACCACCCCCCCCCCTCCTCTCTACTTTTTATTTCTCTAGATCTTTCTCTGTGACCAATCAAGAAAGTGATGGAGGTTGGTGTGTATAGCTCGAGCGGTAAGGAGCACCTATCCTTAACCCCGCGTCGAAAATCAGATCAAGACTTCGGCTCTCGTTATGCCCTTCTAAAGAAAGCTGATCAAGAGCACAAAGTAATAACTCAATCTAAAGCAACGGAAGTTGGAGGAGCTTATAGCGTTAGTGCTAAAGAGAATTTATCCTCAAACCTACGGCTGCGCTCACAGCAAGAGTTTAACTCTCGTCCTGCCCCTCAGCTGAATCAAAAGAAAATTGATCAAGAGCATAAAGCAATAAACCAATCTAAAGTAATGGACGGAGGAGGAGCTTATAGCGTTGGGGCCAAAGAGCACTTATCCTCGAACCCTCGTCGACGCTCGCAGCAAGGGTTCGACTCTCGTCCCACCTCGAATCAAAATAAAGCTCAAGACTCCAAAGCAAATCAACCCAAAGTTGTAGCAGCCAATAAGCTTAAGCCTGTATGGGATTGTGGCAGCTCACTATACGACTCGTTCGAGCTCGACTCGTTCAAACGCCAACTGGACTCGGCCATATCATGCAGAACCATGTCAATGCCTCATCTATCCGACCGCCGAGCTCCTCCTCCGCCGCCGCAACCAGCCATCACAGCCTCCAGCAAAAAACCCTCATCAAACAAGCTCTCCCGTTCGATTCAAAAGCTCCTGCGCTCTGTGTTCAAGCCTAATACCAAACCAAGTAACAGTAACAATTCTGGTGTCGTTTTTAAAGTCCAAGATCATCATCAAGCAAATACCAAGGATGGATTTTACGTTGTGTACAACACGACAGGTGCACTTACGACAATTCCAGAAATGATTCCTCACGAGTTTGATTTCGGTGGTCTCTCCCCAGAGATTGGGGCGTTCGTAAGAAGAACGGGATCAGAGCGATTTACAGCTTCGAGGACTGCTAATATTGGTATTTCATGTGCTTAATTAATTAATACTTTTATTAGATATAGCTGTAGAATATGAATAAATACGAATTTTTGCAGACGTATATGTGTGTGTGTGTGTCCGTATGTAATACGTTTTTACCTTTTTCATATGAATATAATATAGTCTTTTTCTAAGGATATGTATATAGATTGTATTATGAGAACTTTAACTAAAAGTGTATGTAACTGTTTATTTTAACGAAAAATCATATTTTTATACTAAAAAATCAATCATGGTACTATTTATTTTATTTTTTATTTTGTCCTTATCGTTAAAACTCAAAATTTTCAAATTATTTTTATTAGTTTTCTTTGTATTATATATTGTACTAAAATCCAATCTATCATTTATCAATTTATCATGTCGTTTAGGTGTTAATTAGCAACTATGACAATTTTAATCATGGTTAATTACCATATTTGGTCAATATATGTGTGCCTTGGTCAAATTTATGGTTACAATAAAATTAATTAACATATTATATATATATGAGAGTGACAACATGATAGATATCTCTTAAACCAAAAATATATATGAATATAAATATATATATATATATATATATATATATATATATATATATATATATATATATATATATATATATATATACGGGCGTCAGTTAGTTGGTAACACCACACTAATATTTTCAACCTTTAGGTTATTGTTCAACCTAAACCCTAAACTATTAGGTTGCGCACTCTTAACTTTTGCTTTTGTGAAGTAGCTATTTTCTTACATTGATAACACAACCTCTAATAATCCGGGTTTTGTTTAGCTTGTTAATTTAGTACGGGTCTGCTTGGAGAATAGAGTCAATTCAGTCATCATAATCTTTCAGTCTAATTATAATAATAATATAATATTATGTGTACTTTCTTGTAATGTAATGTTAAATTATAGTTCATGACACCACAAAACGATAAACTAATTTTATACAAGTTGCTCCCCACTTCCGTGGCTGCGACGGTGCATGTTTGAAAAAGGACACAATCCATGATATTTTACAGATAGGACTACAAAATAACATTAGAACTTGGTGATGGAGATACTTAGTTGGTGAAATGCATTTATCCAATGTCTCTGTCAATCTAAGCGGTTCGAATACAATACTTGCTGAGGAGGGACCTAATGAGATGATGATGATGATGAATGATGATGATAACACTAGAAAACAAAATAAAGTTAGGAAGATCAATTTTTGAACTAAATTTACAAATCAAATAATATGTTATCAGTAGAAAATAAGCATGTTAATCAACACTTAAATAATAATTCAATCATCAACATCTATATTATTTGGTTTACAAAATTTGATTTAAATATTTGGTCTCTCTGCATTACCCAAACAAAGAAGCCATTTAGATTTTCATCCTTCAATAAAATTGTTAGTTTCATTAAAACCAAATGTTACACTGAATTCAAATTTTAATATTTTGATTACGTTCATTTTGTATACGCACAAGTACACTAACGCTATAGGCACATTCATATTCTTCTTTTTAAAAAGGAGATCAGCTGGTAATTTCGCCACAACAGTACACCCTTCTGAAGGCTGGAAAGATTCACAGAGCCATTTCAGCCTCCTTCTAGCCACCATGGTGTGATTCACCAACAACAAGAATTGAACATAAAACGTGATGTGTGGAATACAGGCCTAGAATTCATCCCTACATTCATATTCATAATTATATTTCTAGAAATTATGATATAATTACTAGCAAATGCCACACATATTCTGTGTGAGAAATATAATTTTATTTTTCATAAATATTGTTTTCAATTTTTTGATGGGAGGAGTTATTTTTTTAAGGGGATTGGCAGTTAAGGATAGAGAAAGAGAGAAAGAGAGAGAATGAGTTTAGTGGGTAGTGATAGAGAGACATATTTGTGAGGTTGAAAAAAAAAGGGTAAATACTTGTTGTGTGAAATTACTTTAATACCCATATTTTTTTCCTCTTCTAATATTTTTTTTCCAGTTATGTCTTAAAGGTTATAATAGTAATTTCATTAGTTTTTTTTTATTGACAAAAGAAGTTATATTAAGGGTTTTTATCACAAATGGTCATTGAAATTGACCTACACCATCAAGATGATCCCTAAAATTGATAATCGATCAATGTGGTTCTTAAAAATAGGTGTTACAAATCAATGTAGTTCTTAAAAATAGGTGTTACAAATCAATGTGATCATTCCGTCACAATTCTGCAAAAAAATCTGTTATGTGCTAATGTGACAAATAAATGGATCTCACAAGTCTTTTTTTTTTAATCACAAATGGTCCCTAAAATTAACCTATACCATCAAAATGGTCCCTAAAATTGAAAATCGATCAATGTAGTCATTGAAAATAGATGTCTCAAATCAGTGTGGTCCTTTAGTCATAATTATGTCAAAAATTTTGTTATGTGTTGAGTTGACACATAAATGGGCCCACAAATCTAACTAAATAAAAAATAAATTAGAAATATGTCTAATAATTTAATAATTAATTAAAAAAGTTGTCAATCTAGAAACTCAGTCGCGCAATCACCTCCGATCCCAATCCATACTATTCTACCTCCATCTATGGTAGCCTTCATCGTCTTTTCTCCAGAACAAAAAAAAAAAAAAAAAAAAAACTTAAGACACTCATTTTCACACCTTTCGACACCCTTAATCGAATTGGACAAGGATTAAGACTATCTTTGGTGACAGCTTGGATTGGTGACGACTGTTGTGACTGTACGGTTAATATTTGGGCGATCGACAACCTCACAACTTTAATCTTGGAGAGCTTGTTAGGCGCTCCCTCGGTGATCTTGGTGACGTGGAGAATGGTGAGCTCTGCCTTGAGCTCTTTGTGCAAAAACCGCTTTTTGACTTTTTTAATTAATTATTAAATCCACATCAACACATAACAGAAGATTACAGAATTGTGATAAGATGACACATTGATTGGCAACACCTATTTTCAAGGACCATGTTGATAGATTTTCAATTTCAGGAACCATTTTGATGGTGCGGGTCAAATGTAGGGACAATTTGTGATAAAAACTCTTATATCTTGTGGGGCCAATTTATGTGCTACATCAGAACATAACATAAGTTTTGACGGAATTGTGATATAAGGACCATATTGATTTGTGACACCTGTTTTCAGGGATTATATTGATAAATTTTCAATTTCAAGGACCATTTTGACGGTGTAGGTCAATTGACCATTTATAATATAAAGGGAAGTTTAACAAAAAGCTCTCGGTACTGTTCACTTTAACGAAAAATCACATTTTTATATTAAAAAGTCAATCATGGTATTATTCATTTTACCCTTTAATATGTAGTTTAGTTTATACAACTACAACAAAAAGATGATTACATACTAATGCAGATCATTCTCTATTGAACATAAAGAAGATTGCCACTGGTCCCTAATGTAACTATGATTTTTATGGATGCCAAAATTTCTGTTCAGGAGCCGCTTAGTACTGATATTCCTCTTTACTTGTAAGTGAGAGGTCTTCGGTTCGATTCTTGCCAAAGACAAATTTAAACCAAATTATTGCTAACCCATTATGAGGCTATACTAACCCCCTTCTCTTTAGTGTAGATAATATCGTTGTTAAAAAAAATATTGCATTTAGGATAGTTCACTTGTGCCTATAATTTTATTTTATTTTTTATTTTTTTTGGTAAACGCCTGTAATTTAGTAGTCTATTTGTGCCATTCAACACTTTCAAATAATATTTTCATACAGGTATCAATCAGTGCCTGCTATTTGCAGTATTGCTTCTAGTCGGCCGCAATGACATTCTTAGCTCCGTCAATTATGATACAAACAACTATTTAGGATTATAGCATATTTAAAATTATGTGCTAGTTGCTCCTCTCCTCTTTAGTGTAAATACTATCGTTTGTTCAAAAAAAAAAATTATGAGCTAGTTTTTTTTAAGTGCTAGACACAAAACTCAAAAATAAGACTCGAGACACTTAGTACTTTAGTTTAATGATGATATTTCTCTTTACTTATAAATGAGATATTTTAATTTTGATTCACGCAAAAGGTAAATTTAAATCCTAATATGAAGCTTAGCTCACTCTTAATGATTTATCATGATTGGTTATGGATGATGTGATGGGCCCCAAAATAAAGGGAGATAATGATATCGACTTAATGAGTATAATGGAGTGGGGCTGGAAGGCTTCCATGTTGGATGGAAATTGGGCCAGGTTTTATGTATACAAGGCCATTCGTGACACAACCTCTGTCCTCTAGATCGGTAAAGCCTCTTAAATGACCTAGCAGTATCAGACCAACGGTTGGGGTGTCCCTCCTAAAACGGGTGTTCATCAGACTTTTTTTTTTTTAACAAACGATATTATCTACATTAAGAAAAGAGGGTGGGTTTGCCTCACAATGGGTTAGCAATAATATCGTTCAAATTTATCTTTAGCGAGAATTAAACATAAAACCTCTCACTTACAAATAAAGAAGAATACTACTAGACCGTAGTACTAAGTAGCTTAAAAGGAGTAGGATTCTCTCCTAAGGGTGTTCATCAAATCTTGTGACAAGGTGAGTAAATGAACAACCTATAAATTGGCCAAGTACTCACTTCAAAATTTCAAATTTCGGTATATTGGCTTGTACATACGATATTGAGGGAGAAATATTTAAATCCATGATAACCGTCATAGGGTAGACGTTTTAACTAGTTGAGCTATAAGTCTCCGATGGTAAGAGTACAAAATGGGTTTTGGTTTCTTTTTTCTACTCTATTTTGCATCTCCCCATCATCCTTCATGCACACTTCCAATCGTCATTTTTTTCTATGCAGTTTTCTCTGTAACTTGCGCAAAATGTGGAAAAAAAAAAAGAAGAAGCAAAATGGTTACTAAACCGCTCTTTAAAATTCCTTTTTCTTTTCTTTTGTTGAAATAAAAGTCTTGTGTTTCTTTACTATGTCTCCAAATGAGAGTCTGTTTTAAATCCCAAGTTTCATACCTTAATAAAACT